AGTGTCTGGCCCAGACACTTCGCACAGTGCACCCCACAGCGTGGGCACATTCCTCGACCCGGGATTCTCTGCCTGATGGGTTCATATGACTAAGATAAAAGCAGCAAGTTTGGGATGAAAATGTCTGAGTCTTCAGAGAGAGAGGGCTGACTAATGAAATTCAGGCCAGGAACACAGCCCAAGCAGCTCTCTCCCCACACTGCCGTCTGACAGAGGAGAGCCTTCGTCGCTCTGGTGACCCAAACCTCAGGTGCAGGAGCCCCACGGCCCTGGCAGGGAGGATGTGATAGCTCTGTACAGATCCCTTCTCTCCACAAGTGGAGCGGGCAGGAATAGAGGCCATGCACTTAGACTAACAAGGATGCAGGGGACACTCGGCTCTGCAAAGCTGCCTCCCAGGGTGACAGCAGCCCCCAAGATAAGGAGCACTGTCCTCTAACCTTGTGACCATCACCTGCCCACTTAAGAGTAGGACACACTCCCAGACCAAGGTCCAGAGCCAAGCCCATGATATCGGCTCTCAATCTGGTCTGAGTATCACCCGGCAGCTTCTCGAGGTGGCACAGGAAATCAGCACTCACCTGTCACCAAGAGGGGTGGGGCCTCGCTGCCTCACACAGCTGTCCATCCAGCACAGGGAGCTGCGTCCCCACCCACTACAAGAGCAGCTCAGACCTGCAGGGGCAGCAGCGTCCCTGGGAAACCCAGAAACGAGGACCCTTGGTCTCACCCAGCGCCCCAGCCAGACTGCTGCAGGGCCTGCAACTGGAGGAACTCCAGGTAGGTGGGGGTTACGGGCTGCGAGAGCTCCACAAGGCCAGGTGTGGACGTCGGGTACAGCACCCTTTAAATCCCAAATTCTGGATAATGTAAGAGTGGTGCAAAGGCTGACATCCTGGAGTTCCAGAAATGGGCTCAGACGACTAACCACAGTGACATGGCAAAGCTGCCATCAAATGAATGTCTGAGCACACTTGAAACGCAGCTCTGGATGACTGCTCCATGGATCCTCACGTGACAAAACGTGACACCGACACAGACAGGGCTCATGCCTAGCACTGTCCAGGCCTGTGGAGCCCTAGCCAAAGCCCACCCCTCTGCTCTTGCTCAGCTGCTGGCTCCTTGAGCAAAGGACACCCTGACGCTGATGACCTCCAAGCCCCGCGCAGGGGGTGGGGGTGAGAAGGGAGGGGGTGCCCACACTTGCCCTGCGTCCGGCCCCACCAGCACCCCCTCAGGTCCCACGCAGCTCCCAGCCAGAAGCCACGCCCCCTCCTCCTGCTGCAGCGCCCGCTCCTCCTGGGCGTTTCTTCAGCCTCCAGGACACATCTCCCTGCTGACTTCCTCCGATAGGGCAGTTTTGTGGGCAAGGCTGTGACCACACATGCTTCTACCACTCTTAGCCAGAAGGCGTCTTGGAAGGAAGGGCCCCCGTCTTTGCTCTGGGGCCTCCCTCTCTGCCCCTTTTGTCCTCAGACAGATCCAGGGTGGAGATGGCCACAGCCCTGTCCTGAGCCCAGAAGGGTCAGCATGAAGACAAACTGCAAAGACTACCCATCAGGAGCCCATGTAAGTCTGGCTCAGGCAGCCCAGTCTCAAGGAAGATCTGTTGCTACTTTGCCCTCGGAATCAGCTTGGCACCAGCCTAAGCCCTGGGCCACCCTGAAGATTCCTCTCCTATGCTCTTCATCACCAACCTTGTCCATCTGATGGCACAGCAGGGAGGAGACAAAGTCACCCGCGCAAGTCAGGTTCTCAGAAGACAGACGCTCAGCCTACCCGGTCAGAGAGGCACGACAGGATGTGATAGGCCATTTGCAAGCTGGAGACCTGGAAGGTGGCATTGTGGCCCAGTCCACATCCAGAGGCCTGAGGACCAGGGGTCACTGATGTCAGTCTGGAGTCTCAGGTTAGAGAGCCTGGAGTATCCACATTCTGGGTGGGGTGGGAGGTGAGTGTGGGTCATATGTCCAGAAGAGAAGATCGCCCTTTGGTCTACGGGGCCCTACAGATATGAGGGGGATCTCCCCGCTCAGCCCCCCAGCACACATTCAGAAGCCAGGCTTTACCTGGTCTCCAGGCAACCAAGAATCTCAGCAGATTAACACTGGAGATTAAACTCAGACCACAGGGCTCAGAGGTGTGGGACTCACGTACTCACCTAGCCCAAGGTGCTTAGATTTAGGCATCCAGACACTTTAATGGGGACAATGATCACAAACCTCCAACTGAACCTCAATATCTTTTTATGAATGTAGCCAACAAACTGGGACCTGGGCCTCTAATTTAAAAATCTGATATTTTCATCACATTACTGCAGATTTTTAAAAGCGTTTTATGCCCACTACTACTTAGATCATGACAACAATTGCACAAGAGGCCTTGGTATTTGATACATTAAGAACACCACACTATAAACTAAGTGCAGTGGCCCATGCCTGTGTAATTCCAGCACTCAGGCAGGCTGAGGCAGAGGGATTCCAAATTTTAGCCCAGTTTTAGGCAACACAGAGACTTAGGAAGATCCTGTTTCAAAAAGTAAAAAAAAAAGCTGTAGACAGAGCTCAATGCAGACCTTAGATTCAATCCCCAGTACCAATAAATAAATAAATGCTATTATAAAAAGTTGATAACTATCTCAGTACAACTTGTCTTTGTCACAATCTCATGCAATGTGTTTCATTCATTTGAAACCCTCCTTAATGCCCTGAGAGTTGCCACCGGACACCAATGACATCCACAGCAGAGCCAGGGTGGGGCTCAGCTGCTGCCTCTTCTGCTCCTGCCCATCTAGTGGCTCCTAACTCCTGGCAGTGATGGCAGGAGTGGGAAGACTGTTGCAGCTTGGTGAGCAGCCATCCTGCCAGGCGCCCTTCCTGGCCTGGGCGCTCAGCAGACTGCCTCTTCTCTCTGGGACTCCAGAGACATGAGATCTTTTGAAAAAATGACATGGGTTACTCATAGGACACCTTATGAAGTCAAATGTGTAGACGTTGTGTTGTTAAAGGCCTGATAAAAATTAGTTTCAATTTTTAAAATTTACACCTTTAGTAAGACACCTTGCCATTAACTCCCATTGAAATACTCTTCCTCACTTTGAACACATTTATCTGCCACTCCCTTAGGCAGTGTAGAAGTCCTCTTTCCTGATGGCTTTGAATGTTATGTTTGTCCCCACAAAGCCTCATGCAGTCATAGGGAGGGCTTTTCAGAGGCGGCTGGACCTAGAGAGTGTGACACTGGGGTCAATTCACGTGAGATGGTAAGATTAAAGGTGCCCCCCACCGGGTGTGAGTGCTACCTGCCCGAAAGGCAGGTCCTCTGGATAGAATGTAAGGGACAGAGAGAGGTCTGCTGTCCTGTCTTGCTTCCTTGCTACCTTGCTGCCTCCTGCCTTCTCCTCTGTGATGCCCCTGTGCTGTGCCATCCTGCCTCGGGCAGCAGGCCAACTATGAACTGAAACCTCTACAAGCTATGAGCTACAATGAAGTTTTCTTCAACTTTGGGAGTAAGGGATTTTTGTCTCAGCAACAAGAAACTAAGAGATGTGGTGTAATCAATTAGTGCTGCTGCCAAGTCCCATCCAATTGACAAATTCCTAAAAATATTGGGATGCATCCTCATCTACCTTATTTACCAGACCAGGCAACAAGCAACTTCTGTCTCTTCCCCAGAGTCAAAATGACCATAAGGGTAAACAATCTGAATCAATTCAGGACACTGATGCTGCCATGACAGCACAACTGAAGACATTAAGAAGGACTTCCACAGCTGCTTCCAAAAGAGGCAGGAAGGATGGGATAAGTGTTCGGAGCAAAGGGGAGTATTTTGAAGGGGGTCAATGACACTGTGTCTTTTACTGTAATACATTTTTTTAAAAAGTTAAACGTTCACTGCAGTTTTCGATCACGTCTCAGTTAACTGCTGAGAGCATTTCCCTGGCATTTGAGGCAAGTCCATGGACAGAAGAGAGCTTGAGAAGAGATTTTCTGTGGCTCAGTATTTTTAAAAATGTGAAGTCATCTTGCAGAATCAAGTATTTTATTCAGAAAGCACGGCAGGTCTGACCTTCTGCCCAGGCACCTACTCTCACAGCTCCCACTGGACCCTCCTGCCTCGTGTCGCCTCCTTCTCCTCCTCACGGTCCCATCTGGTGGGATTTTCTGTGCCCCAGGGCTGGGCCTCCTGGCGTGGCACTCTCTCCCTGGGGACTGGCATCCCTGCTGTGCTCATCCTCTGTTGGGCACTAACAGGTTTCTTCCTGCCTAGGTCCTCGACCCTTTTTGGGACTCTGTGGACAACAGTTCCCAACAACAGCTCCAGAGCAGGCTGGCCTCTCCCTGTTGCTCAGCAGGAAGCATGCAGTCCCTACCGGGCCTGAGGATACTGTACTGTCAAACCGTGTGAACAGCTCTTGTCCTGCAGATGGCAGCAAAGCCAAATCCTTGTTGTCTCTAGTAATGGAGAGCGGGCACAGGCGGGGTCTCTCTCGCCCCATCTCCATCCAGACTGCAGAGCGAGTGGCCAGTGCTGTCTCTCAGCACACCAGGGCTGGTCACACATCAGCATCTCAGGAGCCTCGGCTCACCCCAGGTACCTGGTGAGTGCCAGGTGCACCCCTCAAACCAATATGCAAACACGATGGCTCCCGAGTGGAGTGTCCTGGGACTAATGCACGTGGCTTTAGGAACCGTGAGACCCAAGCAGGTGCGACTCCTGTCACCAGCTTTCCCAGCAGCTGTAAAATGTGAATGCATTCAAGGGCTTGGCTGGGCGCCCAGAACATCACGGCCACTTCAGACAGCAACGATCACTGCAGATAGGGACAAACAATAGAAGCGCTGGCAGTAACAGGCAGACACGTCTTTACAGCGTGAGGAGAGAACGGTAACCACGCAGGCCCCAGAGGACAGACTGACCACTGAGCACAGATCCCGCCACTCACCCTAGAAAGACCCAGAGGCTGCAGCCGCCACCAGACGGCTATTGATAGACGGCGCTATCTATAAAGCATCTTTTTCTTTATTTAAGTTAAACAATTTCAAGGATGGTTTCCATCTATAAAATGGACAAAGTACAAGCTCTGTACAGCAGTTCTTTTTAAAAATCAACTGGAAAAAAATTACCAAACTATATTTTAAATTTGCAAAACACACCCACAGATACCATCATTTCAGCTTTGAAGGAGACACAAGGACCACAGAGAAGACGACTGTCTCTGCCTGCTGTGCTCGGACAGACCTTGGGAAGTTTGCTTTAAAAACAGAAGTGGGCGGGTGGGACAGTCCCGAGGACTACAAAATAACACGAGCACAGTAAGTCACTTTGGCACGCTGTGTCCTGTAAACGGGGCTCACCTTGAGGACCAGCCCAGAGGCCTCGGCTGGAAGCCCCCCACATGGTGCCCCCAAGTGGCCAGACAACACAGCAGGTGCACAGGGGAGGGCTCAACAAGCTCCACCAGAAACCAGCCCCGTCTGCCTCCCGTGGGTTTTTGGCTGACAAAGCAGCTCAATGGTGACGGGGTGTGACCAGGGCCCAAGCGCTAGCATGAGCAGCACAGACTACCCTGCCCCGCTCTGTGGCCAGGAGCCTTCACCTGCACCCACGTGCAGTCTCCCTTGGAGCCCACGCTGGAAGACGGCAGTGTGTGGAGTTCACCCAGCACATGGCTACCTGTCTCTAAGATGTGTCTGTTTGCCTGGCAGGGGTAGCAAATGAGACACAGGGCGGCCAGCTGGCCAAGCCTCCTGAGGGCCCATGGTCAGCTGTTCACGTGGGCTGGTGGTAGATGGAGGAGACCAGCAGGAAGAGTGCACATCAGCAACTCCCAGCTGCCTGTACCTCCACGGCCTCCACAGCTCTCATAAGCACATGGAGCCCAACTGGCCTCTGAGAATGGACATCTTCATGGGAAGGCAGGTGGCAGGGTGGGAACCATGGGAGTGTCATGACAGGGACACAAAGAGTCAAGGAGGCTGTGCAGGAACATTCCTGTACATGAGCTAGGGCCCAGGCATCTCTGCCCACCACTGCAGCCAGGTCCTCTCCGCCTGTGGCTCACAGGACATGGGCTGCTGTCTCACACCCAGGTCCTCATTAGACTGTGTGGCTCTGACTCCTTCCAGCTCTACCCAAGCCTGGGCAGCCACGTGTGGGGGTGCTGGGTAACAGGACATCAACTAAACGCGCAGGCTGGGGGCGCATGGCCACACCTTGCCTGCAGGTGTCAGTTCTGAAGGCCTGGTGTATGCGGTCTCAGACTCCCATGAGCCCAGCATTAGCATGTGACAGCTGTCTAGGGTCACTGGCGTGCCCTGTCAGAGGGCACTGGGGATACTCCCAGCTCACATTAGGAGCTGCGGGGTTGGAGATTATTTTCCCCTAAAGAAAAAAAATTAATTAAAAAAACCCAAAGCAGTATTTGCCAAAATAAGTAACCTATCTGGGTTTATGGATACCAAGAGACACAAGTGGATTTTCCGACACACGGCACGACTCCCATGCGGAGGCCACGCAGAGATGCCTGTGGGCTGGGGCCGGGGTCCTGGGAGGCCCCTGCTGGCCACAGTAGTGCCTCCTGGCTATGAGGCTCCAGGGGACAAAGGACAGGTGGCCCCTCCACCCAGCATGCACTGTGCTGTGAGGAGAAGCGACCTAGAGAGACTGTGGGGAACTGACCGTACATTCTCTTTTATATGTATTTATATTTAGTGTCCCACCATAGAAAAATCACGTTCAAATACAGCAAGCACATCAGTGGAAGAGGGGGCGCCGGGCCTGGAGGCGCAGAGGGGGGTGACGGGACCTGTAATGACGTGAGCCGCATTGTGGGGCCCACATGGGACTCTGATGGGATCAGACGGCGGTTTTGAGAGTTCTTGCTCCGAGGGCACCGCGCACCCTCTTCCCTCTGCTACCACGCCCAGAGCTGCTTCTCCGCTGCGTGCCTCAGCCGGGTGGCTCCTGGCTACTGAGCAAGAGGAGGAGAAGGGCAGCCACGGGAGGGGCCAGCTGGGCCCCAGGACAGTGGCTGACTCCTTCCAGCAGCCACTGCGTCTGCCAGCACAGCTGCGCTTTGCTGGAGCTCTCTGGCTTTCAGACCATGATGGAATACTGAGGTATATAGTTTCGCGGAAAGTTTAAGAAACATAATCGATAATGTGATCACCAGCTTGGCCAGTGGTTCGGCAGCAGATCCGGGCTCTGGGCTGCTACTGTTGCAGGTTGAGTGAGAACTTCCACTGCTGCGAGAGGGCCGGGCCACACACCTCCACGCTCAGGCCCCCGCTCTTGGCTGTCCGGCTGTCCAGACACAGGTTGCTGCCCACGTGCCGCAGCTTGGAGTTGCTCTCGATCTGCTCCCACTTCTGCAAAACACAAAAGCATGGCTCGGGGAGAGGGTGCAGGCCAGGCCAGGTCCCAGTGGGTCCCTGGCTCCAGTCAAACAGACCAACTCACTTTCCCTCTCAGCCACTGACTGTCAAGGACAGGGGTCAGCAAGAGCTACAGCAAAGCAGCCCTAGCATACAGAACCCAGATTTTCCTTCCACCCTCCCCGGGTGCCAGGTCTGGGCTGCTTCCTTGGTTATTAGGTTATTAACACGAGCATTCACACACAGGAGCCTGCACATGGGGTGGCTGATGTAGTAATGTAACCCCTGTCAGGGTCCCAGGGAAGCCCCAGCTGTGGGGAGCCACCTGCCTGGAGGCCTCGTAGCACCTCTCAGTATCCAAATGGGGCTTTAGGCTCAGCAGAGCCAGAAGAGTGGAGTCAGGTCCCCAACAGGAGAAAGAGGTTGAGGAACAGGCTGCCGTGTGGAAGGGGTCAAATGCTATATTGTGGGTCCCCTCCACCACGTGCAATTGCCTTGTGAGGAGCTACTGCCACTTCCAGGGAGTCCACAGCACCAGGATGGCAGACCCGAGCAACCCAGTGCTGAAGACACCATGGGCAGAGCAAGGGGTGTCATCACTGTGCCCTTACACTCACACAGGGCCACCAACCAGCCACAGAGAAAACGAAGCCCACCACAGACTCACAGAAACCTGAGGTCCCCTCGCCCATGTTTAGCAAGGAATGCAAATATCCCCGTTTTCTAAATCTCTAATGTCTGTTCTTAAAACAAAACAGTTTTTGCCTGGTGTGGTCGCGCATGCCTCTAATCCCAGCACTCAGAAGGCTGAGGAAGGAGGAGCACTGCGAGGTTCAAGGCCAGCTCCGGCAACATGGTGAGCTCAAGGCTAGCCTGAACTCCATAGCATGACCCTGTCTCAAAAAAAACAAAAACAAAGCAAACAAACAAACCAAAAACACATTTTTTTTTCTCCCCAAAGCTCTTCATTAGCAGAGATTGTGGTTCTAATTAATTTTTTACACAGTCTGCACCAAAGCTCCTTTGCATACGTATTTAGGCAAATCCTTCTGACACTGTGGAATTTAATTTTCTCATTTTCATCTCCTTTCTCCTTTGACTTTGCAAATGTACACACGGTATGAAGGCATAGACGTGCCTGGAAACTTAATAACCCTGTGGGCAAGACTGCACTCCACGAGAAGCGCTGAGCAGCCGCTTGTTGGAGGCAAAGGACTGGGGGCTCAGGCGGTGGGGTGAGGCCCCCACAAGCATGAGAAGATGCCCTCTGCTTGTGCACACCCACCTGCTCACCTAGAGTCCCTGCACCGGCCCACCCTCTCCTCACTCCCGCCAGCTCCTGAGTCCCTACACATGTCTGTTCCCCTTTATGCTTGGTACCATGAAGCTGCCAAGTCATCTGAGGTCAACAAAGAATCTGGGAGGAATGGAAACTGCTTCTGACCTCTGTCCCCATCAGCTAAGTGGAGTTCCTTTAAGAAAAGCTGCTCTGTCCTGGAAGGTGGCTCCATCAGCTCTGATGTCTGTTGGGTGTGGTAATGTGGACGAGCCTTCCCACGTCCTAATTCTGAGGCCTGGGGTATAATGCACGAGATCCCGGTCCATACTCTATGCAGGAAGGCCAGTCATGCACTGTTCTCATCTCACAAGTCTTCAAGGGGTCAGTTACAGCTCTCAAGAACTCAGAATAGAGCAGAAATTCCTATCAACTATCCAAGTGATGCCAAATGCAGCACTTTATCACTACTTTACATCAAAGACATTTCTGCCATTATGGTAGGGAGAATGTTGCTTGGGTTCATGGTGAGGTGGGACTACTTGGCACCTCTGATACTAGCTTGGCTGGTTCTAGGGGGTCTGGGTCCAGGGGATGGTGGCTGTCCCCAGTCTACCAACCACTCTTCTGAGACATCATTCAAGCCAAGAAACTGCATCAATGCAGACAACCATTTAGATGGTGAGCAGAAGGCAGACACTGGATCCCCGCTGCCAAGACAGGCTGGGCTTGTGCAGAAGGACACTCAGAGACGGGCACATGGATTCAGAGATGCTGGGTGGAAGCGGGCCTTTTGCAGCTTCCCTGACCACTGGGATCTAAACAGAAACAAATCCTGGCCTCAGTTCTCCCCGTCAATATGGCTGCCTGTTCTCTGGACTGAGTTCTGGGCTAGAAACCTCTGGGCTTTCAGCTGCAGCAGGCTCTGTGCCTTAGTTTCTCTCCACCTTAACTATCCCATGAGGAGGGACCACAGGCAGATAGGCCAGCACTCCACACAGGGCATGCTGGACAGTCTCTTTGTGCTTGTTTTTCCTAACATTGTTGCCCATGGCTCCAGAAAGGAGGATGCCCCCAAGTTCTCACGATGTCTGTATCAGACAAAACCATCTTCTGGGGTGTACAGCACTCTCTGAACTGATTTTTTTAAAAAGGTAGCATAGATGCTCCTGGACTACAGCAAGGCTGTGTCCCAAGGAATCCACGACAAGCTGGAAATAGTGGTATGGAAACATTTAAGACACCCAACCAACTGGGTATCTCAGCTCAGCACACAGGGCACTGCAAAGGTCACGGGTCAACCTCATGCTCAAGGGGCTGACTGGGAACTGGGGCTGTCCCTGTCTAGGCTCTCAAGAGAAGATCATGCCATGTATCACCCACCTGGAAAAGACCAAATTCAAGCATGGTCTCTAGTGGATGTGGACTGCTTTTACGCCATTCTAAGCAGAACCCTAAGTATACACTGTCTTTATACACTTGCATGTAAGAGTGTGCACATGTGTGAAGTCATATCCACTTGTACTTTACTTATTAAACATTTCTGTAAATGTGAACAGGAAAAATATTTGATGAATAAACACGAACACGTAACCTCCCTTTTAAATGCTTATGGCATGGGGAAGAGAATGTGAATATAATAATGTCAGACCCCCAGCTCAGGCTGGACAGGCAGCCTGACATCACGTGACACAGGAACACATGTACACAGCCGCCACGGCAGAGGGCTGGTGCACCCACCTGTCTGCTGTCGTTCTCCCGGCAGCCCTGCAGCTTCACAAGGGCGCCAGGTGCCCGGTCCACCACTGTAAGGCACAAGTCCATGTGCTTCACTGACTTCTCCTTCGTCAAGGCCCATTCCTGGAACACAGAACCCCAGGTAGAATATGCCACATGGGTAAAACAGAGGTGGAATGGGTGAGGGTCCCAAAGGGAAATGGGTCATACTGGGAATGAGATCCAGAACCTTAAACCAATCAGAACCACCGAGTTACTTTCAGCCTAAAACAAAGCTACAGACGGGGGATGCTGCCTTCAATCTATAATTAAACACTAAACTGGCCAACAAGAGCACAAAAGTGGCTTGCAAAACTTCGTAACTAAGATGAACAGCATCAGGTAATGTATGTGTGCAATTTTTTTTTTTTTTTGAGACAATTCAGGCTGGGCTTGAATTTATTATGTAGCCCATGTTGGCCTCAAACTCTCAGAGATCCTCCTGCCTTATTAGCCTCCTGAGTGCTGGAATTACAAGTGATAGCATCTGGTATTTTTGCCCCAAATGCAAGTTAGAGTGCCAGGTTGCTCTTCCATAACGACATGTGAGCCGCAGAAAGCATGGCGGCAGCTTTGTTGCCCATGAGGTGGGCAGTCAGGCTGACTTTCCACCCTTGCTGCTTCAGCATTGCTCTCTTCAACAGGTATGGTTTGGAAACAGATTTATGAATCTAGACTGAATTCCAAAAATTATCCATGACTTGCTACAGATTTAAGTAAGACAGTGTGAGCTTCATGGTAAGAGTGCTCTGCTATTCTGTTGGCACTCACAAGCCCTTCGAAGAGGCAGGGCACAGTCTGTGCAGGTGCACGCAGCACAGCTGGCAGCGCCTGGTGTTCACTCTGTGCCAGGCACTGTTTTAAGCATTTCATGAGAAAGCCCCATGAGGGGCTCTTACTGTTCTCATTTTACAGACAGAAGTGAGCCGGAAAGTGTTGAAACCTCACCCATGTGTTTAACAACGCACACATGTGTAAGTGTGCAAGCATGCGCATCAGGGGCTGAGACATGGAACTACACACTTAAATCCTTAAGATTAAATAACACTGAAAATCTAGCTCACACTAGTCACATCTGAAGAGCCTGTGTCCACGTGTGGCCAGCTGGCGGCGCAGGGATTAGCGCAGATCAGAACGCTCTCTCTACTGCACAGTATCTGTTGGACAGTGCCCAGGAGGCCACAGCCCAATGACACAGGTGGGCTATGGAGCTGGGTATCCCCACGTGAGTGGGCAGAGTGCTGTGTCCTGTGCTGCCTCACCCACCTCCCACCACGGCTCTATCTCTTTCCAACCCTCACGTGTCCAAACCTTGCACTTCGCTGCTCCAGCACTGATGCTTCCTGACTGTGGGGGCGGGGATCAGGCTTCCTGGGCACAGGGCCACTGGGATCAGTGCTTGTCAAAGCTCTCTAGGAGATTCCTGTGTGTGGTACTGGAACACTGAGCCCGAGCAGGGCATGATACCCTGGATGGTGAGCAGGTCTCAGCACACACTTGCTGAGGCCAGGGGAAAGGCGCTAGGTGAGGGGCAACACCACACTGCAGCAGTGCAGAGGGCATGCTCCGTGGGTCCTACTGGACTGTCCCCAAGGATGCCCCTGAGCTGACCCCTGGCACTCATGTGATGCCACCTCAGCCAAGATCTGGGCAGTGGCCACTACTCATACTCCAGAGCCCACATTTGTGGGCAGCAGCTCTGGTGGCCTCCCACAGTCTGTCCACGAAAAGCTGCCTGAGAGCAGCAAGTCACCATTGGGCTCCTGCACCTGCGAACAGGGTGAGTGGTTCATCATCTAAGCCAGTGCACCTCTGACTCTGAGGGGAGCGATTAGAAATAGAGTGCTGGGCAGCAGTACACACTGGCCCTGTGCTGGGTGGGCCAGGATGTGTAGACCCCTCCTGATGGAGCTGCCTAGAAGGCGTCCTAGAGCCAGAGCCATGCCTGAGGCCACAGGCAATGAAGTGCAGGCAACACCCTGCCTCCTGTTGACCCGCAGCCACTGCAAGACTCAACCTGCAAGAGCAGCTGGGGTGAAAGGTGTGGCCCAGGGTAGGCATGAGCCCCCTGGAGAGCACAGGCAGACTAAGGCTGGGACGCTGGCCCAGACACTCCCCTCTGTACCCTGCAGGGAAAGGCCTGCCACACCCAGCAGAGCTCCTGACGTGAGGCCTGACCTCTGATCGGCAGACTCTGCTAATGCCACTGTGGGAACTCAGCACCAGCAAGAGGCAAAGTCTAAAGGAAACAAGGAAGAGTCAAACCTGGCAGCACAGGCTGGCGTCTCTGCTTTGTCATCACAGTGCAAGGTGGGTGTCACTCAGCCCCATCCTGCAAGTGGGGTGCTCTGAACTAATGCCACCCAAACAAACCAGACGCTGCTTCTTCCAAGGTACCAAAGGGCACTCAGCCTTCTGAGAATCAGGTCACTTTGCTTCTCTGTGCTCCCTACGGCTTCGCAGAAACAGCTAACACATCTGTCCCTGTGCTCAGTGCTTCCCTCACACCAATGCTGAGGCCCAAATAAACTGATGATTCCTACACAGCGAACAGTTGGGCAACTTATACCAGAATAAGAACAACCACACTTTGCAGGGGCCTGGTGTCACTACCAATCATGCAAGACTGTGGTGGCTTCCAGGCCCCTAGAAGCAGTCAGCAAAGACCACAATGCCCAGGCATAGGGACGCCAGGGGGCACAGCACAGTCTTCCTTCAGGACACTCCTGAGAACACAGATGGGGACTCACATGCCACAGGGCCACACTAGGGAAATGTGAACTGAGCCACAGCCAAAGCCTGGCTCCTGTTCCCAGGGTGCATCGTCAGGACCGGGGACTGGGAACAAGGTGAGATGGCCTGGTGGTGACACACGTGTGCTGGGGGGAAGCAGAAGGCCTGACACCTGCACTGGGGGCTGGGATGGGTCCAGCCGAGCCCCAAAACCCACCCCTGTGTCATTCAGTGTGCACAGGCCACTCCCCACAACCCCTGGAAATTGCTCCAAAATGTGCAGAGAGGAGCAGGAGCACCTGGGGACTGTGACCTCCCCACTCACTGGGAGGGTTTGCATCAGCCGGCTTCACACAAAGTAGCTTCTATTTAGCCAGGGGTCTGAGATCAACACAGCTGGGATCTATGCACGGGTTAACTGCCCTGTTCTATCGCTGCAGGCCCCCACAGTCAGGCAAGGTTTCAGGCAGGGGCACAGAGCACACTGCCTGCTTTCTGTGCAAGGGAGCCCGTGTTCCTGGCCTCTGGAACACCAGGCCACACTGGGTCCCTGAAGGCTTCATGCATCTCCCTCTCCAGTGAGGGGAGAGGCGTGTGTCAAACTGAGGCAATTAATGGCTCTTACCTTACTGCTTAAGGTATCACCATCTAATGAGGCTAACAGCTATAGCAGCAGCCACAGTGCCTGGGGCCCAGCATCTTCTACACAGGGACACAGGTGTCTACACCACATTTAAGAACAGACGTGGCTGCGTGCAGAATAGGTGCTTTGTGGGCATGAGCACACAGCAGGGTGGTCAGAGCCAACAGAGAAAAGGACGGAGGCCATCAGCCCGACAGCCCTGCCTGGACCACCTCTGACACTGCACGGAGCCCAGCCTGAGGCTGGGTCACTTAGAAAACCAAGTCAACACTGGCTCCATGAGTCAGTCCAGGTCCACAGTGTCCCAGCTGATGCTGAGGCTCCACCAAGGCTGTGACCACCAGGGGCCAGGAGGAAAGTGACAGCCACAGCTGCTTCTCTAGGAAGCCCCTGCCCCCTCTAGGCCTGCAGATGCACACCCACCCGAATACCTACCTGGTTTCCCCCAGCATTGTGACACTCATAAATTCCAACAACACCGTCAGCAAAGTGTCCCAATGTATCAAGGCAATTGGTCCCTTGCTGCAAGGCCCCAAAAGCTATATCTTGATGGTCAGGAACCCTGAAAGGAAATTGAGACCAATGGTTAACTCTGAGGTACACCAGCCACCTGGAGGTCCTGCAGTGACCTCATTGTGGCAGTGGGAAAGAGAGAAGGTCAGCCACTAGGCCCCACGTCCTGGCATGGTAGGGCTTTAGCTTTGCGCTCCTAACACTTTAAGATGTGAGTGAGAGAAGTTTTCTTATGGTTTCTGGGCCAGGGAAGGAACAGCTCATGATGTCCTGGCTGGTCACTCAGAAAACCAAGTCAACATGGTGTCACCCTGGCCTTGCACCTAGTACAAGGGAGTATGCCTTCCTTGGTCTTTGCATGAGTGGACCTGCAGGTGGCCCAAGGCATACAGAGCCACATGCTCTAGAAGGACAGCGAGTTTCGGCCCCATCTCTACACGCACTGGCTGTACAGCTGCTCAGGCGAGGATAACTCTAAACCTCAACGTGCCCGCTCATGTCAAACCCACTGAACAGGCTGCTATGTAACCATCTCAGGGGAGGCCCTCACCCTAAGCCCACCCACAGGACGTGTCCGGCAAATGGTGGCAACACTCATAGACACAAGAGCTTGTGCCTCCCTCATCTGCCAGCAGTGGTAGGATCCAAAGAGGATGCGACCAGCAGGGCCAGGGATCCAGGGAGAGATTTGAGAGGGCTCAGGGCGAATGCCACCCCACACAGTGGGTAACCTCAGTGAAAAGCTGCATTATCATTCTGTCTGGTATCGTTACCCACCAACCCACAGGCAAGTATGACAGCAACAAGTGGCTTCTGCCACTGTGGTGCTGAAAACACTGCCTGAGGCCCCTCCATGGTGGGACAGATGATAACTGGGTCTACCCTGCTGACCACCACTGTGCTTAACCCCAGGCAAGCTGTCCATGGTGGAGAGAACTGGGCCGCCTGCTCTCTCTTCCACCACCTTAAAAGCTGAGAAAACGGCTCTGAAGGGCCATGCCAGAGACAGCAGAGAGCGAGGCCTCATCACTGACTCACATACAAATTCCCACGAAAAGGCTCTAAGGGAGCCGCCAGCAGGAAGATAATGGTGGCTGTATTCATTTTCCTAGTCCCTGTGCAGGCTGCTGTAAAATGCTCTGGGACACTTGGGTGAATGTGGCACACTGCGGCGCAGCCTGTCTGACAGCCCTTTGACAAGATGAAGTTGACTGGGCCCCTGGTCTCCTGCGGGGTTATCAGGGCCCCTCAGGACACAGAGTCTCTAACAGCTTAGTCAGGAGGTAAGGTGGACAAATGAGGCTTGGAAGAGGCTTCTGCACCATGGATCCTTGAGGGCAGCAGGGCCCCAGTGCATCATGTGGCAAAAGTGGCCCGCAGGAGGAAGACCCCTGGCAGTAGCGCCCTGCACCTACTTCCTCCCCCGTCTCTCTCAGCCAGCACGGCCCTCTGCCTCTTTACAGTCACAGGTGAGCGGAAGCAGCCACGAGGGAGGGTGAGATCAGGGACCACTCACTCAGACATCGGGGCTCTTCTACCAGAGGGGAACAAGGCAAAACAAGGTGCTGTGTTGTGATGGCTCTCAGGTCTGTGCAGAGTGGGGGAGTCGCCTCATGGGAGCAAGGGAGGCCATGACCAGGACTTGTCCTTAGGAGTCCTGGGGACAGAAGTGGGGTAAGGACCCACTCTCCCTGGTAGCCCTGGTGAGGCCTGTGAGCCCTCCAGGCAAAGCCACAGGTCCTGGGACTCACCTCAACTCTGGGTAGACATTCTCCAGGTACCACTGGAAGGGCCGGCAGCCAAGCCGCTTCCTGAGCTCCAGTCTGCTCTGAATGCTGGGAGAGGGAACATATCAAACATGGACATATGCTTGCGTCAGCCATGAGCATGTGCCATAGCAGCGGGCTGGGCAGGCAGTGTAGCTCAATCTGCGCAGGCCTTGCTGACCACAACCCTGCCACCCACACCCAGCCCTAAGCACAAGGTCCTGCTGTCACTTGGGAGCACCCCTCCTCCCAGGCTCTCCAGGCAGCATGAGGAGAAAGCTGAACACACTTACTTCCCATATGGAACATTTCTGGCCGAAGGCACTGCTGCATAATAGAAGTTCTTATATTCATCCATCCAGACCTCTGCTGCCCGGCGAGTGTTGCTAGAAACAGAACAAAGCCCTCCTAAGGCGCGATTCTCCCCTTCTGAAACACCTCTCTAACTGTGTTTGCTGGAGTGCAGCCAGGGGAGGCAGGTGGCCATCAGGTCTGGGACCCACAAAGCCGCTCTGATGTCTCACCACAAGATCATCAGACAGCAAAAGGTGAGCTGGAATGACGGTGCAGGGGAGCTAGAAAGGGCCTGGGCCAGATCCCAAGAGGGACAAGAGTCACTATGGAGTAATGTGCTGTGTGCTCACAAGTGCAAGGCAGGGATCAGAGCCAGGAGGCTGCTGTGTCCACAGCCCTGTGATCTGTGCCTCAGTCCACAGGCCATATTGACTCTAGAACCCCTTCCTTCCCTGCAGATCTGAGCCAAGGGAAGTGGCTCACCAGCCCATGACTCCAACCCAGGACACAGTAGTCCTCACTGGGCCCCGGAGACTTGCATCCTGCTCTTCCACAACAAATACAGCTGAGAGGCAATGCCACCTTTAAAATAGCTCCTTTTCTCCACCAAAAAGGTTTTTGAAATGCTAAGTCCTTCAAGTTCCTGACCTATGATTAGGTGTGGCCTCTGCCTTTCACACAGTCATGTACCTATCCGTCTGCTCTGAACGAAGGAGACTCGGGCTGCTGCAAGGAGCACCATTAAGAGACATACAAGGCAATAGCAGGGCTGCCCACCTTGGATCAGGTTCTACTTCTGGAAATTTACCTACAGGAAATAACCAGGAATGAAATGCATACATGAAAATAGGCTCACTTCAGCATTATTTATAATGGCAAAAAGTAACTAGAAACTGTAGGACCCAACCCAGGGACATGATGAGATGAAAGAATCCCTGTGAACAGTGGAAATCCAGGATGCATGGGACTTGCTGGTGGGTGAAGATTGCTCACAGTGGATGTATGGAGGGAGGAGAGAGACAGATGGATGGGGAGCCTGATCCAGCATGTATGAGAGCAGAGTGCAATCTTCTCTGGTAACAAGATGCACGGGTTTCTGCTTTCTCTCACAGAACAATGAGTACTTCAGTGCTGGGGAGCACAGGCCCCAAGCGCCACTCCTCAGACAGCTGCCAACTACTCACAGTGGGACTTGTGGTCTTGCTAGATGATTTCTGGCTTCACTTGGACCAAACTCTGGCCAATGGGCTTATAACCAGGCCATGACTCCAGCCCTGTGACACCTGAACCCTCGCCAGTACACGCAAGAGTCTGATTCAGGGCTGCCCTGGCTCCTTTCAGCCTTAATGGCTTAAAGAGTTTATTCATTCCAATCACAGTGCTTAACTCATGTAAGTCCTTACGTCTGCTTACAGAAAGGGAGATGTGCGGAGTCCCCAGTGTGCCTCGAGGTGCATTATGGTTTAGATCGAGGACATCCCCTCAAAGCCTCACGTGCTCAAAGCAGGGCTTTTGGAAGGTGACTGAGCACAGGGCACTGCAGTCATCTGTGGAGTCATCGACTGGGGACTTCTGCAGCTGAGCATGCTGTTGGAGGGTGAGGGGTGCCGGTCACAAGGGGCATGACTTGAAAGGTTTTGTTTCCCTCTGGGGCTCCTCCCTGTTCTCTTTGTGAGCCATCTTTCCTCCACCCAGGCCCTTCTGTCATACTGTTGATTACAAAGGGGCTGAAATTTCTTAAAATGTAAGCCGAAATGAACCTTTCTTCCTTTAAGCTGTGGATGTCAAGTATTTTGTCCCTAGGGTGACTCTGTAGTGATTCCTTCCTTTCTTCCATCCATCCATTCAGATACTCACTGGTACCAACCACACCCCAGGGATCCAGGGGTATCAAGAGGTGCACTTTTGTCCATGCCCTCCTTGATTTGCAAGCATTTACAGAGTGATGTGTTCATGAATCCAATGTCACACATTATAGGAAATTAAGAGAAGCCAGATGGGACCTTAGCCACATAAAACTCCACCTCTTGAAGTCTGCTAAGAGGGAGGGCAGTCTTGCTGAGGTTGGCCCAGGTGGTACATCTAATCCAAAAGGTGCTCTTCTGAATGGAGCGCCCTTCCTACCCCCTCACTAGGCATTAATCCTAGGAGTGTTTTACCACTGAACTACATTTTTTTTAAACATCTTGAGACAAGGTCCCACTAAGTCGCCCAGGCTGGCCTTGAACTTATAAATCCTCCTTGCTCAGCCTCCTAGGTAGCTAGGACTGTAGGCATGCCACCATGCCCAGCCCAAGAGTGCTTTTTCAAAAAGTGTATGAAGTGACATTTTGAGAATTTCAACATACCGTTTTCCAAAACCCCACGGCTGGCTGGGCAGTATCAGTGGTTTTGATTTCAGGTATTTGATATTTCTACACTACAGGTTTCTGGGAACAATTTCGTGTTCTCCCAGGGAAAAAGTTACACATCAATGATCGGTTTCATAAAGCTCACTGTATAAGACTGTATTACTGTTTTTTAACAGAGCAAAGATGAAGCATAGACAACACACATGAAAAGACATATTTTCATGTAAAATGATAACCATTGATAATTTCCTACCATTTTGTCTGTAATTTGCTAAGTCCCCCCTAGTATTATGTTATCCTTCTTTTACTCTTTAAAATAAAAAAAAAAAAAAAAGAAAAGACATATTTTCAATGGTCAGAATATTGTGTTGGCTTCTATTAAAACTGCCCCAGAAATAGGCTCTGCATGCTGAAAATTCAACCTCTGCTTAGCCTGTGTGTAGTAGTAACACCCCAGGCTTCCATCTTCAGTGGGTGCCATGACATCACAGCAGTGGGACATGCCCAGAGTCGCCTCAACTGCTGGACTGTTTGCCTGCCTCTGACAGCGGGGTGGGACCCATCTCCTGGGTGCACACCTGCTCAGGTACCCACAGAGCAACTGGGTGGGGACACCAGCACCATCACATGACATCACCTCTCTGCCACCTTCCACCCCTTGGCCACAGGAACTTTCCAAAGCTAAGACAGAAGTCAGGTTCCTGCTTACAAGGCCAGTGGTTTCCCCTGGCAGTAAGGAGGCACAAAGCTCGTGGTGATCTATAGGGTGCGTGGCCTGGCCTGTCCAGCCTTCCCAGCTCTGGGCACTGTCCTCTCCTCCTCGAGGCTCTGGGTGCCCCTTGTCCTGCTACCTCTCCCACGTGCCCACACGTCCCTTCTCAGCAGCCTGCCCTGCTGCAGGGAGCCAGTTCCCCAGGTCCAAGAGCCCTCTCCCCGCCTCCCCTCCCTAAAGGTACCTCCTGTGCTCTCCACTGCAGACCCCCTTCTGCCCGTCCCAGCCACACTTAATCACATTTTATCTTCTTTACAGCACTGATCAGGACAGTATTTGAAGTGATCGTACTTAGTTGTGTATTCTGCTGTCTACTCTCATGACAAGGTACATTAAAAGGGCACCCCAAGGTCCACCTCACACACTTTTATCTTTAGCATTTGAGAAAATTCCCAGGGAAATGTGGTCTGACAGAATAGTAATTTGCTATTTTTTCAAAAGTGCTTCACCTGGCATCGTGTGTCCTAAAATATATCTTTGATCAATTACGAACCACATATATATGACATACTACATCTTTTTTGACTATAGTATATCTTGTGGTTTGAGTGCCCCTCCTAAACGCCTCTTGAAATTTGTCACTGTGAGAGTATAAGTTGTGGTCAGGTCACCAGGGCTGGGCTTGCATTTGCAGGTGGAACAGTGGCCCCTCTGTGTGCCCTCGCCCCAGCCCTTCCACCACGTGATGAGCATCTGCTGGTAAGTTCTGCTTACCATGAAGTACTTAGTCTGTGGTGTTCGGTGACAGGGGCACACAACAGACAGACAATAAGCTTAACTGTACCTTGAATGGTAATGCACAGTAAGCTGTTTTCGGAATACTTGCCCATATCACTTTTTGGGGGGCACATTCATACATCTTTAGGTTTTCACAACTATAATTGCAATATGGAGACAGACTAGCCCATCCCCAGATGCCCTGGTGCTGCCCCTGGGCCACACTCCTATCCTAAGCCCCACCCCCAATCCTAGCTGCACTGGTCAGTGAGCCCCCCCCACCCCGCCCCACCCCACTGGCACTGTTTTTGCAAAACAACACAGGGCGCAGAGGCAGCTTACTTCCCCAGCATTTTGTCTGCTGTGTGTGCCAGCCACCTGCTGCTTCCCACTGCTGACGGTACTACACTTGTCATTGGATGCTTGTACCCATGCCGCCATAGGTGACCCCTATTCCTAGAGCAGTTGGCAGGACTGTAGCCCTGTCTGCTGCTCAGTACTTACCGGGCAAAGACAGTGCCACTGCCACCTGGGAAGGTGTAGGGGTGCTGCTTTCGGAATACATGTCCCACGCGGCTGCACGGGATGATCTCCAGGCTGCCACCGCACTGCCACACGCGGAAGGAGATCTCTAAATAGGGATGAGACTAGGTGACTTGTGGGGCTGTGGGCTTTCCCACAACAGTTCCCATGACGCAGCTCCTCACCCCCACGGCGGCAGGAGCCCAAGAAGAGCTGCTCCCTCCAGATTGTGGTTCAGAGCTCTCTGCAGAGCTTCACACACCACAGCATGAGCAAGGAAGTGCGAAGTGGGGAAACACCCTTTGGATCCAGATTTGGTGCACCCGGAGTACCGGACCACGTGCATCCCAGGACCATCTGTGACTGACTTGTGCCTCCCTCAGCACAGACAGTGCCAGGAAGGCAACTGTGAGGGTATGTGAATGTCAAGCTTTCATGCTGGATGTAGTAACAGGTAGCCACAGGTGTCACCTTCCTCTAAAACTCACTTCAAAGCTGGTGTGGTGGCACATGCCTGCAATCCTAGCACAAGGGAGGCTGAGGCAGGAGGATCATTGTGAGTTTGAGGCCAGCCTGGGCTACAAAGTGAGCTCAAGGCCAGCCTGAACTGCATATTAAGACCCTGTCTCAAAAAGACAAATAAATAAGAAAACAAACAAACAAACAAAAAACAACCCAAAAACTGACTGAGCAGTAGGACATAACTGAGCTTCGCCATTTGGGGAAAACATTCCCATTCATCAAATTGCATCCATGGTCCACTGGTAACATACACAGGTGCCTACGGACTATGGTGACATATACGTGCACTAGACAGCAACCTGCTGGCCCTGGCAAGATCCCTAAGAGGGCCTCCTTCACCTGCATCAACACAGACTGGGCTACGGGGTAACTCACATGCGGACCAGGCACCACCTGTACTGACCCAAGCACACACTGTCCCTTCAGGACAAAGGACCTGTTCTAACTACCTCCTACTCTGAACAAAAAGAAACTGAAGTTGAACAGAGAAACCAAGACATCCTGTTCTGAGAAGCCAAGCACTGCTCCTGAAAGGTGCCAGAGCACACAGGGCTCAGAATCCAGAGAGGAGCCAGCAACCTGCCAACACAAATGGATTAGAAATGAGGTGGGACTTCTGCAACCACATGTGAGTGGCCGTGAAATCCTCAGGGCGGGCACCCAGGTCCAAAAGCAAGGCCTGAACTGCACAGCAGGGGGCCGAAACACCATTCAGAACAACCCTTCTTCCTCCCATGAATGGGAAACCAAGGCCACAGGGACAACCTCACGCCGAGGAAGGGAACCTGGGTGGCCCCCTTGCTGGGATGTGGAACGTGTGGCTGACACCAGCCAATCAAATGCAGTGAAAGGTTTTGTTTACTTTTGTATGTTTTCCCTGCTGGCCCCTGTGTGGGTAGACCTGAGCCAGCAGGGGCCACTGGGAGGCAGGAGGGAGTATCTAGACTCGGCACGCTGAGGTTACCTTCAACTCTGACTTCACTCAAGTTCCACCCTTGATACTGCTCCATAAGGCCCCTGGCTTTTAACTTAGGCAGTTGCCCTCTGCCCTGGCCCTGCTCACAGCTTGAGGCCTCTGCACACCTTGCCTGTGGGGACACATGCAGAGCTGGTGGCACTGGAAGCCACAACACCCCTTACACTACAGTGAGGAGACTGTCCACAGGGACACACTGTCTCCAACAAGCCTCATCTCTATTTCAGGGCAGAAGGCCAGTACGTTCATCCCCTTTGCCAATTCTTTAATGACAGAAGGTGGAACAATACTCATTAAGGAAGAAGCAGCAGCAGCTCTACTCAGGAGAAAGCAAGGCTCACATCCTAGACTCCCTGCTTAGATCCTGTGCCACTCATCCTCTGCCACGAGCCCTGGAAGGAGCAGTCAGGGAGGCGAACAGTCTCATATCCCTGCAGGCCCTCAGCTAGCACATAAATGTACAAACCAAAGTATAGCCACCCAGCTTGTTTAAGCAACTTCTGCCCACCTCTGGCCTCTGGAGGCAGTCTCCTCGGGTGCACAAATGGACCCTCTACACTGAGACACAGATGCCCTCTGATATTCGGTCCACAACCCCAGTTCTCTGGCAACATTCAGTTCTCTAGTCACACATGACCTTGGGAAGTGGCTGCCGAGTCTGAGGAGACTTGGGTTGTCCTCAGAAGGTTAATCACCCCGAAGCCTCTCGTGCCCAAATGCTCTGGCCCGAACCCTACCTGAGGTCACTGTGTCTTTAGAACACTTGCCTGCAGGACATGGACTTGTGCCCCCTCCCCGCTGAGCAAAAGGAGCTTTCATCATCAAACCAGGGCAGAGATCCAGAGAGATACCCTCACTGACTGCAAAATCAAACACGATGGAGAAGTGACAGGCCAGGCTAGTCTTTCACACTAACAGAAACTTTCAAAGTCTCTGTTAGGAGTAAAAGCAACAGTAGTCATTTCCCTCCCTTTCCTTGCCCTCTCTCCTCCCCCAGTGCATCCACCCAAGGACAAAAGAAACTGAACAACAGTGGGAAGCCAAGAAGAACTGGCTCTGAGCTTCAAGTGCAGCACGCAAAGGAGGCAGGCAGGAGACAAAGCACACACAATATTAGACCATGAGTCTTTATCTTCCATGCAGGAACCATGAGGTGCCTATGAATGGAGGCCACAGCCTGTAAAACCCTACTGCCCCTACATCTGTGTGAAAATGACTTTCCTGGGCTATTTAAAATAGAAAATGAAGCCAAGATAGAACTATTCACAAAAGTCATCAAGAAGAGATGGAAGGCCGAGGCCAGCCTGGGGGGAGCTCCCTGATCACCATCAGGCCAATCTCACAAGCCCTACAGCCTCGTCTCCATGCCACACAGCGAGTTGGAGCCCTTATGCCGAGCTGTTGCATGGTTTTGGAAGCAGGTATTCCAAACCCACAGCCCCAGTGACAGGACAGAGCCCATTTTCCACTAGGGGGCTCCTTGGGCCCTGACCTTCAGTTTTGATTCAATGCCAACCTAAATCACCTTTAGAAGAGAGAGGGTACTGGGTGCATCAGCACAGGGGCTGGTTCTGCCCCAAATGGCTTCATCATTGCTTTTTTGCTGGTACTGGGGATTAAAGCCAGGGCCTTTGTACTAAGCTGCATATCCTGCCCTTTTTAATTTTTTAATTTTGAGAGAGTCTCCCTGAAGTTGCTAAATTGTTCAGGCTGGGACCAAACCTGCAATTCTACCTCAGTGTCCTACAGCACTGATAACAAGCACGTACCATCAAGCCTGGCTCTGTTACAGCTTCTTAAATGCTTCCCATCAAGTGAGCACATGCCCTCCACACATCACCAAAGCGAAGACAGTTAGGACTGAGGTGTGAGGCTGTACATACCCAGGTTCTCTCCTCCCCACACGTCCATCATCATGTCATACTTCCCCAGCTCTTCGAAGTACAGCTTGTCCATCACGAACAGCCCACCAGCAATCATGGGGGTTCTGAAGAGGCAAAGAGTGGGGAGCACAGGTCAAGGTCACACGGACAGCTGTCTTCCGCCATGGCCAAGCCTGGGTTAATGGACTGCAAGAGGGCATCTCGAACATCCTCAAATACCCCCACTTCACCCTCCTCCCTCCAAAGCTTCCCCAGTCCCTGCCTGGATCCCCCCAAGTGCCAGGGCTAATCTAGACCTACCACACAAGGGGCTAATCACAGGGCTAGGACCACTCACTGAGAAGCTGTCCTTGGCAAGGAACTTAGCCTTCAGCGCTTCACTTTCCTTACAAGGTAGTAATAACGATTACCAAAAATAAACACAAAACCTTTAGGGTCCCCCCCCCACACCCCTGTTCCTGGGATGGCCAGGAGCATGAACATGAGGTAACACACAGCACCGGCAGGTGTGCTGCACGACCTGTTAGGCTTCCTGAGGAGGCTCAAGGGTTTGGTTATCTGGTGGCAGCACCTGTCTAGAGCTTGGCAAGAGAGGGAGAGGGAGAGTGAGGGCAGCCCAAAGGCCCATGCTCACCTGCAGCCAACACTTACTTAATGGGGGCCACTGGATTCCCTTGCCGTGACCTCCTCTGCTCTGGTGTCATGTAATCCCATTTGAACACCAGGTTCCAGTCAAACCCTGTTGCAAGGAAAGATCCAGACACTGACGAGGGACTGACCTTCCGTTTTTGGCTCCCTATCTCTTGCAGCTTATAAACATGTGGTGTTTGGAAGGGGCTCACAGAAAATCAAATGAAAATGAAGACACAAAATAAAGAGGGTTGGAAGAGCAGTGACTGGGGAGGTGGAGCCCCCGGAAGGAGAAGGGTGAGGAGGGCGCATACTGACATCTTCTTGCCACTCCCCAAAAGAAAATGGAGGTAGGGCTTTTCTAACGTTACAGTGCAAGAGGGAATGGGATGCAGCTCCATGGTGGGCCACTTGCCTAGCCTGTGTGAGGGCCTGGGTTCCAGCCCACGCCCCCACCAGAAATTTAAAAAAAAAAAGAAGAAAGCGTAAGAGCAAACGTGAACTATAAAGGGAACAGGGGTCTGTGTCTGACAGCTGCATATCCCAGGGCTGTAAGAGGTGAAAAATGAGCAACCAACGAGACCTGCGTCTCCAATGCTGCCCACAGGACAGGACAGGAACACTAGGGAAGGGAGACATCTGGTCAGTTCCCTGGGCCTGCACACTTGATCTTGGTTTCTCTTGATTGCAACTGAAACTACTTCAAAGCTGGAATGATGGCAATGTGAAGACTTTTGGATGAAAATTAATCAGAAAGTTGTAAAATTGGGTGAGTAAGCTTCAATTTCTCGTAAATATGGCCCCTGTTCCATTTCATTCTTAAGAGTCCACCAACTACCAGGGGGAGGAAGCCCCCAGGCCTTGTATTTGGCCCCAGAAACATGCAGGGCCCCAGGTCCCAGCAACTGGGCTTCACTCTTACACCCAGGAGACCAGTGCACCACCCTGGAAGCTTTCTGGACACTCAAGGACTGCACTTGGCAAACACACACCATAGCACTGCAATGGTAACCCACAGGTGTGACTGCCAGATCCAGGGTCCCTACAACTCTCTGCTTCATTCTGGGCCTCCAAAGGTCTCTGTCCTCAAGCTTTCTGTTAACAGAATGCCTGAAACGCTCAAGCTTGGATTTCTCATTTGAACTCAGGGTCTTATTAAGGTGGTGTAGAGATAACCTTTACTATGTTAAAAATTCTACTAGGATGTCATCCTTCATAAAATGCTCTTGGCCTGACCTCAGCTGGGTTCCAGCCCAGCAGAAAGCTGCACCCACTACTAATGTCCATCCTCGTACCTGCTCTGGTGATCTGGAGGGATGGCAGCTCTTCCAGACCCTCAGGGAGCAAGGGGCTCTGACACTACCAAGTTCTTATGACCAAGGCCCTGTTCTCTTCAAAGACTCCTGCACTCTGCTTTTTACCACTTATTAGGAATCTTTCCCAAATTTTGTGCTTTTCAGTTTGTGTACAGCCACACAATACGCCCACCCTCTGAGGGGGTGGGGAGCTGCTTAGTCATGTCCTATCCTAGCAAAGACCGACACATTGTCACTCTTATCCTGTCATGACCTATGCGGCCACCATGATTACCACTACTCAGACGGGGAAGCTGAGGGCACACAGCCCACCCATAGCAACAGGGCCTGTGGGGGTAGGGTGGGGGCAGAACACTCAACATCCAGCACTTTAGCCTTGGAGGGCAGCTGGGTTCTCACAGTTCCATCTTCTCTTTTAGATGTCAAGATTGGCAGCTGACCCTCTGTGTGTCTGTCTGTCATTGTTGACATGTTAGAAGGTGGGGCAGCAACCCCATTTCATGTAAAGAAAGAGGGTTCTGACTAGCTACACAGGGGCTAGCAATCTCAGATTTAAGGGATCTGTGTCTGGAATGGCCTAGGGGATGCCTGGGGGTGCGAAAGTGTAAGTTCTCCTTCAGTGGCTCAGGGCACCTCTCTGACTTCTTGGAACTCAGTAGAGTTCCAGAGTAGAAGGGTTTAGTTACCAGGCTTTAGCAGGGCTCTCTGGGACCTGGAAACTTGCCTCACACCAGGGATACAGGACAAGCAGAGGCCACACGTACCATGACTGGGCCCTCAGATACCATCACAGAACACAGCTCCACCTAGGTGTGGTCTAAGACCCCTCATGACCTCAAATCTTTCTGATCTACACATGACCTACATGCCACCTTCAATCCCACTGCTTAAAAGTGGAGAGTCACCAGGGACACAGCTTAGTGGCACAAGCACCTAAGTGGCAAGTGCAAGGTCCTGAGTTCAATTCCCGATATCAAAAAAAAAAAAGTGCTAAGTGAATTGAATGTGGGCTGCAGGATGGTGTACCTGCTTTATCTCACATTTTTATTTTATTTTTATTTTTTATTTATTTTTTATTTTATTTTTTTATCTCATGTTTTTAAAATCCCTTGGCTTTAATACAGTGAATGCTGATACACAGCCACATAAAACCTCTGGGGTCCTCAATACTAAGAGAGCAGAGAGAGTTTCAGATGAATTGCTCTAAAGGCTCCATGGGGCGTGGGTGTGAGGTGGAGGCTGTGGGGAGCATAGGAAGCTGGTAGTCATTCAGACAAAAGCCTCTAGGCAAAGGCAGAGGTGGGCGACTGGGAGAGGGGTCATCAAAGAGGCCAGTGCAAAAGGAAGGACTCACAGAACTTGGTGCCCAATGGGTATCGAGAAGCTGGGTCTCCACCTGGTTGGCCAGTGAGAGACACAGGGTACTAGGGACAGGGCTGCGTGAGCAGAGCAAGTGCAGACAGGCCCAGCCCCTTTCCTGCACAAAATCGCAAGTCTATGGAGCGACTCTTACCCTGCTTGTCAGAAAGGACCTCTAGAATCCCTGGCTTAGAGCACTGTCAAGAGGTCTCACCATCACTGACTAGTAAGGACAGTGCAACTGAGCCGTGAAGCTCACAGAGGCAGCCACAGGCCCAAGAGACAAAATGCAGAATGTAGCCACTCTCTTGGAGAAGATGCTGTGGGTGAATGCTGCTGTTACTGTCATTCCTGACTGTGGAGACACCTACCGCCCTTCAGGTCAGCAGAGGCCCCCACGTACTGAAAGTTGTCCATGTTGATGACGTCGATGATGGGCGACACCACCCGAGTCCTGTCCTGAGCAGGACGGAGAGGAGAGCAGCTGTCAGATTCCAGCGCAGCCAACAGCCCTGCCCCAGTCCTCCATGCCAAGCAATCATGGCACAGACCAACAGCCTCCCTCCCCACCCAGGTACACAGAAGGGGCAGCTACCTGAGGGGACAGCTGGACCCAGGACATTTCTGCCATCTGTTCACCCCACTAAAGCCAAGGACTGCACAGTGGGTCTGGGTTGCCTCCAAAATTTCAACCACAGGGTTGCTGTTGTCTCATGGAATCTAAGTCCAACTGCATCAGCATCAGTCATTACCATTCAAGGGCAGCAGCAGAGTTTGGGAGCAGATCCACTGCTAAACTGCCTATGCCACAAAATCAGGGTGTGCGTCTCTAGATGCATATGGGGTGTGAGAAAGATATGCAGAGCATCAATATTATTACAGCAGAAGGGAAATGAAGGTAACCAGAGGATCCTACTCCTAAGCTTGGCCTCACAGGGTGATTCCACCAAATCCTCCCCTCCTGGGCCACCTCTGTGACAGTGCCAGGGGAAAAGAGTCTGCACACAGAGGCCTCTCAGTGCTATGTCTCTGTGTTCCACAGCTGCAATGGCCGGCCCTCAGCACAGGGTCAGTACAGGCTGAGTGCTTCCCTTGGGCCACATTAGCAGCGCTCGTTAGCAGAAGACTTGGAAAAACAATCTCACAACAGAGTAAGTCAAGGAGGAACAATATAAGAGAATATTTCAAATTTCTAACCATCGTGTGCAGATTCACAGGGAAAATAATCTGCACAGCCACCGAGGACAGAGAATGAACTTGTCTGTCTCAGCCTGGTGCTAGGTATGGGGGTCAAAGAATATACATATCTTGCGTTTCTTCTGATAAGATGAGAACTAGTGAGAGTCAATCACCTCAGCACCTTCCCAGTAACGGAGGAGGGTGTGAGATGGCTCTCCATCCCACACAGGCCACTGGTCGTGTGCATGCTGACATGCAGCCACCCGGGTATGGTGCTGTTTTCCAGCGACAGTGGCAGTGAGAGTATTTGCAGAGCTCGGTGGGGGAAATTCCAGGGTGGGTTCTATGGTGCAGATACATGGGTGTAAGAGATTGATTCCATCAGGGATCAGACGGGACCCATCCTATCATCTGCCACCTGCATGGTCTGGGATGCATTATCAAAGGGCCCAAAGCCATCTCCCCGCTGCCAAGCGGAGGTAACACCTGCACTAAACCTAACACAAAACAAGTGTCTATTGTGTTGTTTGAACCCAGTAAAGGGCAGTTGAATGTGACTTTCATAATTCCGGGCAGCTCTTGGTTATTTAATATTTCATGACACGCTGCCTGTCAGTTTCACTGAGATGCTGAGGGCAGAAGGGCTTATTCCTTTCCTACTTCCCTACACAGGCTTTGCCTTATTGCCCCTGAGGAAGCACTTTCACAGCAGGATGGAAAGAAAGTCAATAAAACAAGCAGAAGGCAGAGAAGTAACACAGGGCCACACCAGTATTTGTGATGATGGTTCCAGCAGGCCGAAGGTGCACAAAGTATGGCCATGGTTACCCTGATGGTCCTGCTCAGACAGTGGGTAGTGACCACCGCCTGCTTCTCCCCACAAGCCTTGAGCAATCAGCCAACCCAGTCCTCACTGACAGCAGAGGGGTCCTGTGGTGTCCCCAGCATGGACTGCACGCGCAGATGTCAGGCATGCTCCAGCCATGTGCCTCCCATGGGCCTCCCACGCGCCCAGAGCTGATGTTAGCTACAAGCAAGGAGGGAGGGCATGGAAGACTCCTTAGTCAGCAGGGGCCTCACCAGTTTCTGCTGAGCATCTTTACCTGTCGAAGGACTACTCCACTTGCTAATGGATCCCTGAGGCCCATGAGACCCTCTGAACTAATATCCTAGGGCCACTGACTGCTCTCTGGTGTCCAGGAATCGCGCAGCCAGCACATGACCTGCCCTCTCCCCATACCGTCCTCCCAAAGCCCACACACAGCCTCACCTCAGCAACCCGCTCCAGCAGCGGCTCCAGCCAGTGCTCATTACACTCACAGTGGCTGTCCAGGAAGGTCAGGACTTTGGCCTGGGCAGCATCGGCACCGCGAACCCGGGAGCGCATCAGGCCTGTGAAGTGAAGGGAGGACCTGGATAAGGACGGGTTGCCTGCTGGGCACCGAGCTCCCTGACAGGGTCAGTGCTGCCCTGTGGTTACCAAGGCAGGGTCTTATCAGCAGTTTTAAACAAAATAGTTAATTGAGCGGCTGGGAAGACAAATATCTTAGAACTACTATGTCCTGAAAAAGACCTTTACGTAGCTGATGTTCCTTTTACACAACACCTGCTCTGCTCTTTCCCTCCACACAGTGACCTGGGTTCTTACCCCAGTGAACCCCAAATTTGAAGCAGCAGAGTTAATATTCAGATACACTTCTGATTTCCCAACAGGTCAAGGGCACACTCTCTAAGACAAGCAATACAGTTTCCTCCTTGCTTTCCTCATCTTCCTTCTCCCCTCTTCCTCCTCTTTTAAAGTCTGTACCAAGTTTTTCCCTTTGCAGGTATTTGTGACAGCAGATGCTTTAAATTCATAGTTATTTGGTAGGTTGTTTAGAGGGTAAAAATAATGCAGTAAGTTGTAAGGTTCTGGGTTTGCTGTAGGTTTGGGGGACTGACATGCATCCAGTAAGCAGAGCTCCTCAAGGCTGAGGTTAGGTATCACTCCGCATCTGTGCTGATGCTCTCAGTGGCTGGAACAGGTGTGGACAGCACTGCCAAGGGACTCGATCTCTGTGCTGTCAGATCTGTGCTAAAGACACCTTCCTTCCTTGACTCCAGTGGGGCTACACAGGGAACCAGAGAGAGAACGGGCTGGTAGAGGAATCCAGCCGCACTCTGCAGTTTGTGGCCATCCTCAGACTGTGGGAGTGGAAGGGGTTCTCCAGCTGTGGGTCTTTCAGTAACTGAAAGATTCCACCTGCCTGAAGAGCTGAACATCCAGCCGCTGGGACACTACTAGTGAGCTGCACCCTAGGCTGACCTGGATGATGATCATGCTGGTCTGAGCTTCCAGACTCACCCGTCAGCCCAGCACTTTCCCTGGAGAGCTCTTCCGCACCCTACAACAGGCTCATGAGTGAGCTCCGCTCAGACATAACTGATGGCAGTTCTGGGGTTGGCATTTGCAGAGTCACACAAGCGCATAATTACAGTGCTCTCCCGGCTTGGATGGTTCAGCTTCAGCAGGCTGTAAACTTGAGCCTATTATTTTATCATATGCCTGAAGTCTGGAGTCATTAAGCTTCCCATGGTTCAATCTTTGTTGTTCCTCTAAACAACAGGTCAAGGGACTTCTGGAGATTTCCTCAGTTGTGAAAGAGATAAGCCCACCTTCTAAGTAGGTGAATAAAATGTAATTTGCACTCTTGCCCTAGTGTATACACAATTTCAATTAAGCTTTTAATTGTCCTTCCTGTATCTGTTGGGACAGGGTTCACGGCTGCTCTGCAGAGGGGGACAGACAGAAAGACTAGACCACTAATCCCTCTCTTAGCCAAAGCACTTCCTTAAGGTATTACAGGGCTCAGGTAAGTCAAGAATGCAGCCACTTCAACAGTGATATAAGAAAGGACTTACCTTCTCGGCGATCATTCCTCAGGACCCGAACTTTCTCGATCTTCCCCAAGAGGGCCCCATCCTCAGCTAGGAAGGAAGAAAAGCACGGTGAACCCCATGCTGTCCGGGGCACCACACTGGACAATGGCACCTCTTGGTCATCTACGGGCTGGTCCTCTCCCTGGGGCCCTGGAGAGGTGCCCCTCCTTGTGACCTGGGTGAACACCTACTCTCTACTGACACCCTCCTCAGGTGCTATGTGGGACGCGGGGCCACACTCCAGTACTCACGGTCATTGCTGTAGTCATCCACCAGGATGATTTCCTTTATGAGATGGGGCGGACTTCTCTTCAGCACACTGAGGAAAGATAGGAAGATAAAGAGTGTGGGACTGGTGAGGCCTCACTTATGTAGGGACATATCCTGTCTCGGCCCATCTTTGGCTGGAGGAGCCAGTGGACACTCTGGTATTGAGGTGTCTGGGTGCACTGTCTAAAGCACCCACTACTGCAATGACTGCCTGGGACACAACTCACGTCAGCACCCTGACAGGTGATGCTCCTGAGGATGTCAGGTAATGATGGTGTCCCTGGACCTCACCTGACCACTGTCCTCAGCAAGGCCGACCTGGCTTCGTTGTGGAATGTGATCACCACACTGGTGGCTGGCAAGTCCACCCTCCACTGCTTCCTCTGGCACCTGAGAGGGAAGAGAGGTGTCCTGAGCATAGAAAGCAAAAGGGCTGTGGTCAGCCTCTGAAGTCACAGCTAGGCCAAGCTGCCAGCAAGAACCAGCTGCGACAAACCCATCAACTGCAGCAGCCACTGGCCAGTTGTGTGATGCAGTGATAGAAGGGTTCATGGAGACAGAAAACAACTGAGGTCACCCTTAGAGTCAGCTCTTGGGACAGAAACAGACTGAGAATGCCTCACACAGAACAGAGTATGTTGTAACACAGTGAAACCCTCTCTTCCAGCTCAGACGTCTCTAGCTACATGCTCCCCGCAGTGCTTCTTGGGAGCTGTGTTGCTGCTCTTCTCCCATCAGCCCTCTTCCCACCAAGAGCCTGTGCACTTCCTAATAGCCAGAACCCCTCATAGGCAAGGGGAACCCACTGCCTGCTCTCCCTTATTTGAACACAGGCACCTAAGTGATGGTGAGCTGACTGGTGAGCTCGATCCATTGCTCTGTTCCCTGAGCAGCAGGTAACCTTGGGCTCAACTCCTAACAGGAATCAAAAAGCAGTTCTGTAGCTCTGGTTCTGTGGATAGATGCGGCTGGAGGATCCCCACATGCTGCTTAGAAATAGGACTCACACAGCTCCATGCTGAAGAAGTTGAAGTATCACAGGCTAGAAATGACACCAAGGGAAGATTGGGCTCAGTAGAATCTTACCCAAGGAGTCCATCCAGCCACCTATGGATCTGACGATGCCAGCACAATGCAATGTTCCCAGAGTCCCAAAAGAACAAGGTCCAAGGGCAGAGTGAGAGCTTTTGAGGATAGTGGCAATCTGTCAACTGTGGCTGAATGCAGCAGTCACCAAGATGGTGACTCTACAGACATCAGCTCAGCAAGGAAGTCAGGAGGTGGCCTGGCTGGTTTGCCCCACACGAGGGCCCTCTTTGTCACTGCTGTCATAGAGTATTCTGCCCCAAGATGAGAGACAGACTAGGAGAACGCCTTCTGGGGCCACACACTGAAGACTTGGTTTATGCTCTAGCTGTTAATGTGGCTTCCATAGGTGTGAATTATCTGCTACCAGAAGTAAAGACAGCATCTATCTTGCACAGGAAATCAATGAGAAAGGAGATGGATTCTAATAAAAGTTGCAGCTCAGCCATGGCTAAAACCTAAGTTGTTGAGGACTAAAGGGGATGCTCAAAAGCAGTGGCTGGACAGTGACCACAGGACAAAGAATGGTTGGCAGTTGCACACTTTCCCTCAGGGCTACGAAAAAGACAGATTTTCAATATGCACAGGAAAAGCAGCACCATGTGCAGCTATTAGACCAGAATCTTTGGTTATTATAAAGCTCGCTTGTTTTAATTAACCATGAAAAAACTGCGTAACAATCACCGTTGTTTGGGGGCATTCTGGAATTAATACTTAACCTCACTGTGCCCCAAGGTTTTACTGACAAGTGGACTAATATGCTAGTTTTTCTTATTTCAATTTCAAGAATTAGCAGATAGTTTGATTAAGAAAATGAGAATGTGAAGGCTTCAACTGTAAACAAATTACCAAGAACCCAATCTGTAATGCTAATGAAATAAGGGTCCCCACATTGGGAGGCCTTAATTTCCTCAGCAATTAGATCCCACTTAACTCTGTGGGAAGAGCAAGCAGCGGACCCCGCTAAATGTGAAAATTCAGAAGGAGACCCAAGGTGGCATTTTCCCCCTCACAGCAAACCTAGCAGATCCAATCATCCTCTTCTCTCTCATTTTTTTTTCCCTCTCCTCTGCAGGAAGTCTCCTTTCCTTGAATGTCTGGGCCTCCCAGGGCTCCTGAACAAGCAGGACTGCTGCATTCACACCATTTATTAAAACTTCTATACACATTCATAAGCCATCAAGTTTTGCTAGGGCTTGGCATCTATGGGACTTACAAGAGACCCATCCCTCACTGTAGGAGAAATAAGTAAAAACGGAAGCATTTCACACTGTGTGTGAATACATATAGGAATCCAGATAAACTCTTATGCTGAAGCACAGGTGGGCTGAAAAACCCTCTTTAACAAGAAAAGGCACACACTTTCCATTAAAAGAGCCATTTCGCTGCTACAGCCTTTTGCTGCCCCAGAGGCAGTGAGAAAGCTCAGCATAACAGCTGGGGTGCCCGCACAGCAGCCAGCACCTGGGAGCTGAGCCCATCTGAGGTCCCGGAGGAAGCAGCAGCAGGCACTGAGAAGAGGACTAGGCCCTGCATGTGCTTCTACAGGTCCAGTGCTACAGGGTCACTCGGAGATCTTCCTCTCCTGTACACTGGAGACTTCAAAAGCCAGACACATGCTTGGTGTGATGGTGTATGCCTGCAATCCCAGCTACGTGGGAGGCTGAGGTAGAAGGATCACAAATTTGCAGTTGGCATGGGCAACTCAGCATGGTCCTATCTCAAAAAAACCTCAAATAAATAAATAAATAAATAAATAAATAAATAAATAAAAAAGGATTGAGATGCAGCTCAGAGGTACAGAGCTTATATGCAACTGGAAACAACTTCAGTAATGAGAAAAAGAATGAGAAAAACCAGATACAAGTTTTTTGTTCTGTTTTAGTGGGAATTAAACCCAGGGAGTACATACATTGTCAGGCTTTTTTCTTTTTTAGACAGGGTCTGAGTTGCCCAGGATGGCCTCCAACTTTAGATCCTCCTGCTTTAGCCTCCCAAGTATCTGCGGTTACAGGTCTTTGCCACCAAACCTAATATAAAGAGGAAAACAAAAACAAAACAGCAGTTGGTATTGGCAGAGGCTGCCATTCAGGCATAGCATATAGAGTGGAGCTTTTTCTAATAACCTGGAGATGAAGCCAACAAGTCAGGTTCTTTAGGGGTAGGAAGGGGGTCCACTTTCAAGTACATAGGCAGTGCCTTGGGGAGCAGGGTGGTTAAAGTCAGTTAAAAGGAGAAGGTTCCCAGCTCCACAGGAGTTCAAGGAAGGAAAGGGAGGGGCAGACAGGGGAACAAGCTTGACAGTACTGGACAGAGGGTTCAAGAAACTGTACAAGGCCCAGGGAGGGTGTTCGGCCATCAGCAAACTATACTTGCTGTGGGATGGCTACCAAGACCAAGCAGATAGTCATAGGAAAGAAAGACCATGGGAAAATACGCTCTCCTAGAAACACCCCTTAACTCAGTTTTAAAAGAAAAACACTAAGTGATTAAAATGGTTAGTGTTAGTCTGTTTTTGCTGCTACAAGAGTGCCACATACTGGGTAATTAATAAAGTCACAGATTCACCTTACTCAAGGCTATGGAGCCTAGACTGTTAAGGAGTGCCGGGTCAGTGTCTGGTGAGGGCCTCTGTGCAGCATCCTAACATGGGGAAGGGCACACAGCACTGGTGACAGAGAGGGCAAGTGGGCCTGAACTCAACCAACCCACATCGGACACAGTGACTGACCCACCCTGAGGGTGGGGCCCTCACACCCAACCATTTCTGAAAGGTCCCCTCCTGATACCACTGCCATGGCAATTATATTGCAACTTGAGTTTAGTAGGGAACCCTTAAAACATAGTGGTTAGTAATTAAGTTTATGCTCTCACTAAGACAGGTTTCTGTTATGGGAAAGATGGGAACAGACAGACTTCAAAGACAATGCTGACCCTCTGCTGTGCTTCCTAGCCCTACAGCCCGACCCCACAGAGCAGTAAGGCAGGGTCCCTGGGCAACATGTTCTGATCAGGACTGGCGTCCACCCGTGCAGGGGCAGACATGGTGGCAGGTGGGTCACAGGAGGTCAGTCTCCACATCGGCACACACTCCGGTGCTTCTGCTTTCCTGTGGGATATCCCAAGGGCAGTGGTGGCTTCGGGCAAGGCCATATTATTTCTAGACCACAGGTGCTGTGTTATGTATTGTCCTTTACAAATTACCCAACTAGCCTTCAACTATCTGCTATGTCTCCTGAGTCTGCCCTTGAGAGGTCTAGCTCTGATGTACTGGAAGCAAAATAAGGCAAAGCAAAAATTTAATAGGCTTGGGATGCTGAAGGTCCAGTCTTGGACCACAGTGTGTTTACCAAGCCAGCAAGTCTCCCTAGGTATGTATGTAAAGTGTTTCAAACATTAACCAGAGATGGTGTACAAGTACTCAGGTATCTCTACTCTGTCATATTAAAATTCCCACTTTACAGTGCTGGCCAGGTTTTCTAAATGAAATGACATGACAGGTAGTAATTACAGTCCTTTTTTTGTCCCTTGCTATCTGTCTTTTTTTTTTTTTAAAGAGAGTAGTTAAAAAAAAAAAAGAACAATAGCAACATACCAACATCACAGACATAAACAAAACAAAACAAGAACATTAAAAGTGATACAGGGTTTCACAACAAAATGACAAGAGTTAACAGTGGTTGTTATATCACATATTGTTATCTTTAACTGCGCTGCTCAGATTACCAGATATAAGAATGGAAGAATGTTCAAACCATTAAAGAGAATAAAAAAATAATTATTAAATAAAAGATTAGAGATAATACAGACTTTCACTAGACAAGATGGGAGGAATTCACCAATGGTTGTTCCATTCACCTGTTTTAATTACTCTCTCATTGCTGGGAGAAAACACCCCACACCCACAAGTTAACATGTTCCTAGTGGCTTGAACCACCGGTGATACATGTGTGACTGTCCCATGAGGTAGCTTGTACCACTGATGGTACAAATGGATCTAATCACTTTTATCGGTGATTTTACTAGTAAAATCCCAATGAGACAGTCATGTATGTACCGCCTCTCCTATGAACACATGAGGCTTTGGGGGGACAACAAGACATAAATTATAATGCTACCTCAATGCCCATCTCCACCATAAGTAATGACTACCCTGATTTGGTGCTTCACTATTCCTGTGTTTTTAATACATGACACAGTCCATATTTATGAATGGCATTTAGTATCTTTCTCTGTGTACCCAGGCTTTACACAGGTGTCAGTGCTGGAACACCATTTTTGGGAGGATGCCTGCCTGATATGGG